AATTAAAAAAAAACAAATTCTCAGAAAAACATGAATTTGCATTTGAATTTTAATTTGGATTACAAAACAGAAGTATTAACACCAAAAGGAATTTTGTTTACATTGGGTTTACCGCAAAAAAAAAAAATAAAACTTTGTTTTCGATCATATCTCTTTTATTTTTATTTCATTTACCGCAACAAAATCGTCACTCATGCAAATGTAGGGATAGTCACAGTTTTTGTAATGAAAATGTTAATTTTAAGTTTTAAAGGTTGCATAGTTCAAGGTAGCTCTTAATTTAATCTAACTAATCTAACTAACTAACTAACTAACTAACTAACTAACTAACTAACTACTAACTAACTAACTAACTAACTAACTAACTAACTAACTAACTACTAACTAACTACTAACTAACTACTAACTAACTAACTAACTAACTAACTAACTAACTAACTACTAACTACTAACTAACTAACTAACTAACTAACTAACTAACTAACTAACTAACTAACTACAATACTAACTACTACTAACAACCTAACTAACTAACTAACTAACTAACTAACTAACTAACTAACTAACTACTAACTAACTAACTAACTAACTACTAACTAACTAACTAACTACTAACTAACTAACTAACTACTAACTAACTAACTAACTACTAACTAACTAACTAACTAACTAACTAACTAACTAACTAACTAACTAACTAACTAACTAACTTACTAACTATTACTACTACTAACTAAACTAACTAACTAACTAACTACTAACTAACTAACTAACTAACGAACTACTTAACTAACTACTACTAACTAACTAACTAACTAACTAACTAACTAACTAACTAACTAACTAACTAACTAACTAACTAACTAACTAACTAACATAACTAACTAACTAACTAACTAACTAACTAACTAACTAACTAACTAACTAACTAACTAACTAACTAACTAACTAACTAACTAACTAACTAACTAACTCTAACTAACTACTAACTAACTAACTAACTAACTACTAACTAACTAACTAACTAAACTAACTAACTAACTAACTAACTAACTAACTAACTAACTAACTACTAACTACTAACTAACTACTACTAACTAACTAACTAACTAACTAACTAACTAACTAACTAACTAACTAACTAACTAACACTAACTAACTAACTAACTAACTACTAACTAACTAACTAACTAACACTAACTAACTAACTACTAACTAACTAACTAACTAACTAACTAACTAACTAACTAACTAACTTACTTACTTACTAACTAACTAACTAACTAACTAACTAACTAACTAACTAACTAACTAACTACCTAACTAACGAACTACTAACTAACTAACTAACTACTGACAGGTTCATAGACTACTCCACTACAACTAATCGATTTACTAACAAGATAATGGACAAGTCTATAGAGCAATCTATTTACTAATGTTTGAACTAATACTCGTGGGGATAGTGCTACCACACTTTCAATGACATGAAGTACTGAAGAAGAGTAAAAGTACTGAATTTTCCATGGCTGCTACTAACTGTGATTGTCATTCTGATTTTCCCATTTTAAATAGAGTAAATTTTTTTATTCTCTCTAATACGTCATCTAACAACAATTAGCATTCACTCAAACATGAGTAAATAATATTTACGTATTAATGTACTTGCATCTGGAACATTCACTGGCTGGCGTCTAGCCACCACCACCGCCACTAATTGCGTGCATTTGTTTAAGAAAATCGTTTATGCATACCGAAAAACAATTATTAACCAAACTATAGAACTATAAAACTAAAACACAAAAAAATATAAAAAATTTTATAATGTGTTTATAAAAAAATTGTATTTTACATTAAACTGAAGAGGGTGAGAGAAAGTGAAATAGAATGAAAATTTTTCAAGGAAACATTTTAGAATTTTTACGTCAATTTTATTAAAGCAAAGTCATTGCAAAAGTTCATATGTTCATAAATATATTAAATTTTAAATACCACAAATTTAATTACATTTTTCGTAATAAATATTTTATAATACATACTTAGTAAATGTATTGTTTAAAGTGGGCTTTACAGAGTGTTATTTATGTATAGAATTCAGTGTATAAATAAATTTTTCATGTTACCATTAAAATATGTTTTGAATTATCATAAGGTTTAACATATTGGCTTATATAAAACGATTCTATTATACCCTTCACTTTCGCGAGACGTGTTCAAAAAACGGAAAATATATTTAGAAATTACAGTTCTAAATTAATGTAAATGAAAAAAAAAAAAAAAAAAACAATCAAATTTTAGAATCTTTTAACTAATTCTTTTAACGTTTAGTTTAAAATAATGAGTCCTTGAATAAGTATCAGTTTTAAGTCACAAATTAGAAAATAAAACACAATTTACTAAAACAAACAAACTTAATTCTTATTATTATTTAAAAATATTTTAATTCGATCCTTGGTACGAGTTGACAAAGCTGCACGTTTTTGCTTTATCCATATTTATATTTAAAACAAATCCTTTGACAAATAGTGCATTTAAACGCAAGATATTTTATAAAGTATTTAAATATTAAACATACATAAATACTTATTAACACAATCACATGCGAAAAGTATTTTTAACCTTATCCAATATTAACCATGAGAACTACCAATATTTTTTTATTCCGTTTTAACACGTAATTTTTATACATTTTTAATGAAGTGAACAAAAATCCATGTATGCATTCAAATTTATGAATGTGTATCAATAAATTGGCTGTAATCCCCAAAAGGACAATAATTAAAATTAAATGTGAACAGTATGTTGAATAAAAAAAAAAACAACAATAACACAACACGCCGACAACCTTAACAATTAACCATCACGGCCAAAGGTTGACCAAATTGTTTGGCAATAAAAAAAAGAACAATGCATGTTTAACACTTTTTAAATTGTAGTTTTCTTTTTAGTGTTTTCATTTTTTTGTACTTTTTATTGCTATTTTCTTGACAAAAAATGAAACAAAACAAAAGCAGCTTATTGCCGTTATTGTCTTTATCGCTATTTCATGATGAGATACCAAAACCTAGAACAACCAATCAACCACCCATCCACTCCACTCCACTCCACCCACCTATATATCTTGTACCAGTTGACAGAAATGTTTGAGTATAAACAAGAATGCATGATATACACCAAGTACATACGAGTCGACATAAACATGTATGTAATACAAGAATGTTAAGTTAACGTTTAGTAGGTTGGTCCTAACAAAAAGTCATTTAAAAAATAATAATGTTTTATATAGACCGTTTCATTAACACTTGGTGAGATTTATTGGTTCTTGTAAATTATAAAAATTTTATTTTATATTCACTACTGTGGACTAAAGTTGGTGAGTTAACAAAGATTGCTGAGTTAACAAAGATTGTTAACTCAGCGATAGCCGTATCAATCGATAGTTTTTTCGGCACCGATTACAATGTATGCGGAAATGAGCATACATATTCTCTATGATATGGCTTGTTTGTTATTAAAAATCAGCAATATCGGGCCATGATTTCCTAAAGCCCCCAAGAGACCCCTCGTAATACTGTTTAAAGGGTCATAAATTTGTTAATTATGTAGCAATCGTGATAAAATTTTGCAAAGTTTAGTTTTATACAACCAATGTATAGTGTATATCGGACCATAATTGACCCTCTTCATAAAATCACTTTAACATTCATAACTAGCTTAATAATAGTAGAATAGCGACGAAATTCTACATAATTAAGTTTTAAAGCAATACAAATCTCTAAACCAAATGTCAAGGGGATCGGTACATAATTGACCATATCCCCCATATAAGGTTCCCTTCAGAAAATGACTTGAACGCTCATGAGACTAAAAATACCTTCATAATTATGAAATTAGACAAAGACATGTTTTATAGCAACCAAAATATCTCTCTTTTAGGATCGGTCTATATTTTAACTTTCCTCCCATATAAGGCCGTTCCAAAAATATTACTTTAATGCTCATAACAGACTTCATAATAGCAGTATAGCGACGAAGTTCGACATAAACAAGTTTTATAACAACGAAAATATCTATATTAGATAAATACTATTTTGTGGATCGGTTGCTATCTCTGATATAAGGTCCCCCTCAGAAAATGGCTTTAATATTCATAACTAGACTAAAAGTACCCGCATAGAAATGCAATTAGACAAAAACCAGTTTTATGGGAACCAACATCGCTCTACTAAATTTATGAGGATCGTTCCATAATTGACATCATCCCCCATAAAAGGTTCTCTTTAGAAAATTACGTTAACTCTCATAGAGCCCGGTACATATCTTAAACAAGCCCCCCATTAAGCTCCTAAGATCTAAGTCCATATATTGGACCACCTTCCGTAATTAACTTTAATTTACCTCATGGGCTTTGATGGTAGGTATGCATATAAATTTCGGCATAGCCGACTTTAGCACTCTTAAATGAAATTGCGTAGCTGTACTAGTATTTTTAAGTCAGTAATGACCGTTTAAATCATTTTCTGATGGGCACCTTATATGGAGGGTACGTTCAATTATAAACAGATCCTCATGAAATTCTGTAGGAAGATTTCTGTTCTTGTTCTTGTTTATGTTGCATGGGGGCTTCGCGAACTTGTGGAGCGATATTGCGCATTTTCAATACCAATGATGAATATTTCGGCAAAATTTCAGAGCCTATCGTATCTATTACATACAGACGGACATGGCTAGATAGTCTCAGAATTTAATAAGAACCCAAAATTTACATATATTTTTGTATACTTTTATAGGTTTTTGAGGGATATTTCCATATACCCCCTCCCACCATCTTTTATGATTGAATACCCTTAATATTATCATTGTACATTCAAATATATGTATGGGGGATTATTTGCGTATATACAAACATACAGTCTATAAACAATATTTGTTCCATTTCTTTGATATGTTAGTACAAACATGTGTTAATATAGAATTTGTTGTTGTTTTTCATTTTACAGGCCTACGATAGTCGTCAGTTGATGGTCACTTTATTTGTGTGCCTTTGGGGCGCCCGTCTATCTGGTTACTTACTATATCGTATTGTTAAACTGGGACGAGATAAACAATTCGATGATACACGTCGAAATATCATTAGATATGCTGTATTTTGGACATTTCAGGTATGTACCATAAACAACCAAACAAACATTCATTCATCATCATGACCTTAAAAACAAGGGTTTTATATTGCATAATGGGATATTTCGTAAGCAAAAGTTGAGAGTTTATTGCAGAATGAATTTTGGAAACTTTAATCTGAAATTAAGAAAGAGATAGATAGAATCCACAGGCCGACAAAATTAAAAAAAGCTGAAGTACAGAGACAAGGATATAATTAAATAGTTTAAGTTGGGCCGAATACGAATCTGAATTTTCAAAACGTGTATTATATCACATTTTCGAGATATCTTAACATTAGTTTTTAGGAAACCGCCTTTTTGCCGGTTGTGTTGGGAACATCTTGATCATAGATTCGGATTCAGCGCAAGTCAAATTTTAAGGTTAAACTACCGAGAATCATTTTGCTCTGGCATAAGCAAATAATATTCTTTACGAAACTTCCCATATAAAATAGAAATATATAAAATTAATTTACATATGACAAACACATACTATTACATATGTATGTGCAAAAAGGAATTTTAACATTATTGTTCAAAAAATAAACAACTTTTTCCTTAAAGTTTATTAAATTCTATTTAAAACGGTTAAGGTTGAAGTAATAACATTTTAAATTAAAGCAACTTTCAGAATTTAAAACGATTTATAACTTTAGTCTCTTATACTCAATTGGGGGTAAAAGAGTCCCTTTCTGATCTCATGCAATATCTGTACATATAAGCTCCTACCGAATAGTTATATTTCAAAATGTTAAGGTTAAAATGTGGCTCTAGTTGCCAATAATTCGAACAGTACTGTATAAATATGTGACTTAAACAATAATTTAATGAACAACTGAATGAAGTAGGAAGCAATGAATGAATGAAATAAAGAACATCATATACCCTTTTCTCATCTACATCATCATCATATTCTGTATGTGGTATAATTTAATTGAAACTGAAATGTCTCATAATGTGAATTTTAATTAAATTTGTTGCAGGCTGTTTGGGTATATATCGTTTCATTACCCGTCATTATTATCAATTCACCACGTCATTCACAGCCAAATGCACCCAAAACAATGACAACACTGGATTCAACTGGTACGGGTATGTTTATAGTGGGCTTGTTGGCTGAAACATATGCGGATTTGCAGAAATTTTCATTTCGTCAGGATCCTGCCAATCAAGGAAAATTTTGCAATGACGGTGAGTGGCTGGCTGCTGGCAGGCTAGTTGTTGTCGCTTATTGTGTTGCCAATTAAATATTTGCAACATTAATGATAAAATGGATTTAAAAATGTTTCATTGTCTCTTAGGTCTATGGAGCCTGTCAAGACATCCGAATTATTTTGGTGAGGTGGTTATATGGTGGGGTATTTTTGCAATATCACTTAATGTTATATCTGGCCACGAATGGGTGGCAATTGCCTCTCCCATATTTACTACATTTATAATATTGTTTTTATCGGGTATTCCTTTAAGGGAACGTTCAGCGGATGAAAAATATAAAGAGTAAGTTCTTCTGGAATCCTATTAAGTATGTTAGCGTTTTGTGCACTTGTAGGTAACCATGTAAAAGTATGATTGCTGGGAGTTGGTTGAAAAATGTATAAATTGTTTCAGTGTACAGTAGATTGTTATTGTTATTTTTTGGAATTTCGAGGAATACTGAAATCGAGTTATCTTAGAAATCAAAATTTGTACAATTTGTACTACATACATACATATGTATATAAAAGTCCATTTTAAAAATATTACATTTTCGATTTATGTTTGTATTAAAACTTTATTTAGGATATTATTTATTTGTGGACAATTTTGATATACATAACTCAAGGACTCCTCGAAATTCGAAAATATGTAGCGAAATAATACATATATGTATGTACGTAGAAAATTTTTCCTCTTGTAAATACTAAATCAAATTTCCTTGACTCTATCACCCAAAATTTGGAAACATACAAATCTACTTTATAAATATATTAAAACTTTAATGTTATTTCCCCTAATATCTCTTTTTTTTATCTAGTCAACTGGAATATCGTAAATATAAAGCATCCACATCACCACTGATACCAGTACCACCATCTGTTTATGTCGAGGTACCGGCTGCTTTGAAATTCATTTTATGCTGCGAATTTCCCATTTATGACACAATGAAGATCCAAAAAGACATTAGCCCATATTCACTTTCAATTGCAAGATCCCACTCACACATATAGCAGTCAATTGCCCACTCTGGCAGTGGGCAACAAGGCTTTCAAGGCACCGTTGGCCATTCACTACAGAAATATGGTGAAACGGGTTCGATGCATAGGGGACACTGTTATGGCGCTAATGGGGGAGATGCTGAAAATCATATGAACTGCGGTGGCAGTTGTCGTAATTCATATGTGAAAACAGCAAATCCTTATCAAAATGGTTCGGGATATGCGGCTAGTTACGGTCACAATATGAACGAACTGGGGCAGCAACCGCACCAAACACAACAGCAACACCAACATTCACATCATTCTCATCCACATCACCATCATATACATCATCATCATCATCACCAGCAACAACAGCAGCAGCACCAACCCATGGTACCGAAAGCTTTAGATGTTGACGATGATACAGATGATGGCATCATCTATATGCCGGGACCATCATCAGCATCCAAAAAACAGTCACACTATTTTCCTCCCTCACAACACTCGATCGACTTTGAGGAGCCTTCTTCGATCATTGATGTCGAGGAACAAATTGAACCTGAACTGGAGGAAGACTACGATGAAGACATACCGCCTATTGACCTGAGTAAACCGCCAAGCGTGGAAAGCTTTGTAAATAAAATTCGAACGGAAAAGGAAGTACAAATTAATGCCGAAGGTAAATCCATAACTGTAACGACAATATTGTGATTTCATTTCTATGTGTTGTGCTCGTATTTGTATGCGTACTCGTACTTGTATTCGTATTTGTATTCTTGCTTGTTTGTCTTGTTATCAGAACCAAATTATAGTCAAATTTATTCCACTAGTTTATAACACTTCAACAATTAAGTATTTATTACGAAAAAATTTCAATTTAAATGGAAGTAAAAGGTTAAAAATAAAACTTATTAACAAAACTAAAATTGGTATGTGTAGATTGTAAAAAAAATTTACATTAATTTTATTAATGCAATCTTAAGAAATTAATATTTTTATTACTAATTCAAAAAAAAGCTAAATATAGAAAAAAATATAACATTATTAACACACAGCTCAGCGATTATTTTGTAAAATAAGTGAAAAAAAAAGACAGAAATATTAAACATAATTAACAAAAATATTCCTAGAAATTTTCTAAATTTACTTGCATACACTTTGTGACAAAAAAGTAACGATGATAGTAACATTTTTGTATTGAAAAGGAATTTTATATAATTAACTAAAGATTTTAATTAATTTAAGTGAAATGGTTAACTGGAGCTGTTTCGACTTTGAAATATGATCATGAGACCATTTTCAAGATATAAGTTGGTGACTTCTATCCTATAAAGATCTTATATAAATTTTGAATTCTTATAGATTGCTATTTGCGTTGCCCTTTGGTTTGTCAGTATGTACATTGGAAACAAATATCTGAAGGCCCCAGATTCTTCGGGGCCTAAACCTTATGTTATTCTAACCTTATATTATGAACATCGGATGCTACCTTCTGTTTGTCGTCATTTTTAAATGATTATAACTTTAGTCGATTGATTTTAATGATTGTTTTACTGTATGATAACATGATCTACAAATATGTCTCGTAAATAACGGCTTATTTGACTACTCACTACCGCCCCTTTGTGTATCTTACCCGCCGAAGGCAATTTTTGCACATGTTTCTGCCGGCCCATGTACAAGCAATTTGCTCATGTACTCGAGCTATCTAATTTCTGACCATTGCTACCCCGTTGCCTAACTTCCGAGGTGGAAAAACATTACTTCCTTTTACAACCACGCAAATGAGATGGTCTCTGTTGATTCGGTAACAGCACCTAGATACGCAACAGCTCCTAGATAATAGACGGAAATACGAATCCATCCATCTTACTGACAGAGAACACACTGTGCTAAATCTGGTATGCACAGAGTAAACCCTGGACATACCCAGACAAAGAAAGAAAAGTCAATGGTATCACTTGTATAAGATACCTTACATCCATCACCATTCAACCCAGTAATCTTCTCATTCATCCGAAAAACATCCATCACAATCACTCTAGGTGATGGTAAAGCCGCCATACCCCTATATACATCCCGTACCACATACACTTGACACCACCCAAAGTCACTCCTCTGTGGGACTAAGCAAATTGATACCGTGTATCAATTAGTCTTTTAACCAACATTATCTTACCGCGTATTTGGGTATAAACACAGTTACAACGTGTTCCCCGAAGGTCCTCTCAAATAACTGGTACAGGACAAAGTTCGAAACAGTGCCCTGTGGGCTACCGGTTCCCGTGGCTCCAGATTATGTGGTTCCCTGGTTCGATCTCATGTCAAATTATTCCAAGAAAAGACCGAGGATACATTTCTTTATAACCATTTTATGTCCCAGTATTGGTAGCACCTCTTTTCCTAATTTTTTACTAAAAACTTAAGGTAAATAAAGAGGACAAAACAAAAATATGGCAACACGATTTGAAATAAAGCATATAGATTTTATATTGTATATTACCTGGAGAAAATCATAATCATTTCTGGACCAATAGTTTTTAATATAAATTTTACAACGATTTCAAACTCTATTATAGCTAATTCCTTCTTTTAAAGTATAATATATACTTCAGTTCCTGGTTTATTGACCTTATTAATATTGCATTATGATTACATAAGAAAAATAACTCTCATTTTCAAATATCAAAGTCGAAAGTAATTAAACTCTAAAAAAAACTAAAATCCTTATAAAAATCTTTATATTTGATATTGCTCAGATCTTTAAATAAAAGAAAATTAAATGTATTAAACTATAGTTTATTCTTGGCTTACTATTGTTAAACAAACATATTTTGCTAATCATATTAACAAAATGCTTAAATATCATGCATAATTGGTAAAATTACTAAATGTTTTCATTTTTATAAATAATCAATTTTCATTAATTACGGCATTTGAATGACTGCATATCAATTAAATTACATTTATGAATGTTATTTTTAAAAATCTTTTTTAATATAAATCAAAAAAAAACTTAATTCTTTAACACACTAAATATATAGAAAACACAGATTTTCTCCCCAGTGAAATAAAATTCGATGTGGAAAAACTGGTCTGAAAACACAAAATGGATGTAATAATATTGAAAGAAATATCATAACGAATAACAAACAAGATGTGGGGAAAATAAACTAGAAACCTAGATAGATGCCATTTAAAATGGCTTACGTTTGAGGCTAATTGATATCTTTCTAAAACGAAAGATATAACAATTGTTATTTATGCAATGGTTGTGGTTGAGCCAAAACTAACGGTAAAGCCCAAAAAATTATAAAAATGTTCATAATAACATAAATATAATGTTTATTTTAGGAGGAAACCAAACCAACGTTTCAGTGAGGCTATATCTTGTTAAAAAAAAAAAACAGAACTGAGAGAGTGATATAATTCATTTTTTTTACTCTAATATTAGTAGTTAGACTGTAATAATTGTTTATGTGTGTATTATGTAACTATTGTCGAACATTTTTTGTCACCAACTGTATGTAGATTAAAAACAAAAACTGAAATAGTATTATTAGTTAATAGTAATTGTTATCTATGCATATCAAAGAATTTTATTAATTTGTTTATAAAAGAGAAATATTAGAAAAAATGTATCTTAAAATTAAAAAAAATATTTAAGATTTTAATGTCTATGAAAATAAAATTTTGACCATAGAAGAGAAATGTAACCGCAGAAGAGAGAGAAAAAAAGAAAGAAGAGATGAAAGTAATTAAATCATCAGTGGCTAAATAGTGCCGGTGTACAACCTGCACTATTTCACATTGAAACAGGAAACATTTAATAAATGTTTACCTTTTCAAAGATAACAGAAAGGATAAAAAGCAAATTACAAAATGGCATTGTTTAATAAGTCCGTATTCCCATAATAATTCGAAACAATAACACTGGTTAACAAAATCGAAAACCAAAGACCAAAGTATTCTAAAGGACAATATACTGGACTATATGCTAGACTGGACTATAGACTAGACTATAGACTAGACTATAGACTAGACTATAGACTAGACTATAGACTAGACCTATAGACTAGACTAAGACTAGACTATACTAGACCTTAGACTAGACTATAGACTAGACTATAGACTAGACTATAGACTAGACTATAGACTAGACTATAGACTAGACTATAGACTAGACGATAGACTAGACTATAGACTAGACTATAGACTAGACTATAGACTAGACTATAGACTAACTATAGACTAGACTACTAGACTATAGACTAGACTATAGACTAGACTATAGACTAGACTATAGACTAGACTATAGACTAGACTATAGACTAGACTATAGACTAGACTATAGACTAGACTATAGACTAGACTATAGACTAGACTATAGACTAGACTATAGACTAGACTATAGACTAGACTATAGACTAGACTATAGACTAGACTATAGACTAGACTATAGACTAGACTATAGACTAGACTATAGACTAGACTATAGACTAGACTATAGACTAGACTATAGACTAGACTATAGACTAGACTATAGACTAGACTATAGACTAGACTATAGACTAGACTATAGACTAGACTATAGACTAGACTATAGACTAGACTATAGACTAGACTATAGACTAGACTATAGACTAGACTATAGACTAGACTATAGACTAGACTATAGACTAGACTATAGACTAGACTATAGACTAGACTATAGACTAGACTATAGACTAGACTATAGACTAGACTATAGACTAGACTATAGACTACACTATAGACTAGACTATAGACTAGACTATAGACTACTAGACTAGACTATAGACTAGACTATAGACTAGACTATAGACTAGACTATAGACTAGACTATAGACTAGACTATAGACTAGACTATAGACTAGACTATAGACTAGACTATAGACTAGACTATAGACTAGACTATAGACTAGACTATAGACTAGACTATAGACTAGACTATAGACTAGACTATAGACTAGACTATAGACTAGACTATAGACTAGACTATAGACTAGACTATAGACTAGACTATAGACTAGACTATAGACTAGACTATAGACTAGACTATAGACTAGACTATAGACTAGACTATAGACTAGACTATAGACTAGACTATAGACTAGACTATAGACTAGACTATAGACTAGACTATAGACTAGACTATAGACTAGACTATAGACTAGACTATAGACTAGACTATAGACTAGACTATAGACTAGACTATAGACTAGACTATAGACTAGACTATAGACTAGACTTATAGACTCGACTATAGGACTAGACTATTGACTAGACTATAGATAGACTATAGGACTAGACTATCGACTAGACTATAGACTAGACTCTAGACTAGACTATAGACTAGGGACTATAGACTAGACTATAGACTAGAATATAGACTAGACTATAGACTAGACTATAGACTAGGACTATAGACTAGACTATACTAGACTATAGACTAGACTATAGACTAGACTATAGACTAGGACTATAGACTAGACTATAGACTAGACTACAGGACTATAGACGAGACTATAGACTAGCTCTATAGACTAGGACTATAGACTAGACTATAGACTAGACTATAGACTAGACTATAGACTAGACTATAGACTAGACTATAGACTAGACTATAGACTAGACTATAGACTAACTATAGACTAGACTATAGACTAGACTATAGACTAGACTATATACAGACTATGACTAGCTATAGACTAGACTATAGACTAGACTATAGACTAGACTATAGACTAGACTATAGACTAGACTATAGACTAGACTATAGACTAGACTATAGACTAGACTATAGACTAGACTATAGACTAGGCTATACACTAGACTATAGACTAGACTATACACTAGAATATAGACTTTAGAATATACTATAGATAAGACTATAGACTAGAATATGTACTAAACTATTGACGCTGATCTCGAATATGACCTCAGAATTTCTCCATCATTCAACTTTTTGAGATATAGTGTTCTAAATTTTGTTTTTCGGTCATATTTGAGACATTATAATTGAAGACATATTTAATAATTGTTATATAATCTTTTTAACCTAAAGCTTAAGACAACGACACGAACTGCAAGGTTAATACATCATGAAGAAGAATACAACCTTGACGTTAAACCCCTACTTTAACGTCATAATAAACATAATAGACCTTTGCCTGTCTAATTGATACTCTAGCAAAACTTTTAAAAAGATTTTCCACTAATGATCTAACTACTTTCCCCTCTCTTATTATCAAAAACTTAAAAAAAGAACTTTTATTTTAAAGAAAATAAAACCAAATATGTTTATAAAGTGCCAAAAAAATACTTCTAGTTGTTATTAGTAGCAGATTATTTCTAATTCTTCTTCTATTTGGGCTTGTTATTTAAAATTAATAATTTATAAAAAAAACAAAACACTTTCAAACTTCAATAAAGAAAAATATCTAAAAAATTAATAAAATAAAACAATAATTAAAAATAAACTACTAAAGTACCACATACTTGTGCCTCATCTTTATCAACGTTATCATAATTGTTTCTTAATCAATTGTTCAAATTCTAAGGACTTGTTACTTAAATATCGTAGTTTATTTTAACTTTTAAAAAGAAAAGAACTATTGTTATTCAATTAAATTAAAAATAATAATTATAATAATAAAAAAAATAAATACTAAAACTATTTTCTAGAAAAACAATAACAATTATAAAGACATACATATACATATATAAATTTTTTTAATAAAGAGAATAAATAATTAACAAGATAAAATACAAAAAAATATTTTCTTATCAAATATTGCACCCCGCCCACCCAACAACAAAATAAAATATAACAACAAAGCAGCACTACCGCAAATTTAATTAAATTATTTTATAATTTATATAAAAATATATAATGTACATACATACAAACATAATTATTATAAAAATTATAAACTTTAAGTTTTTAAATATAAAATTTAGTTTTAATTGCTACAGCTCTCATTAATTACAAAATTTTCTAAAATAAATATTATTAAAAAATTTTGTATTTTTAACAAAAAATTAAACAAATTTTTGAGATTTGTAGTAAATAAAACTAAGTTTTCAATAATATTTAAATAACTAAAATCTTATAAAATCTTATTAAAATAATTCTGGTACCTTTTTCTAGACAAAATCAAAATTATTAAAAATAAATTAATTAAATTCTTAACCCTAAAAAAACTATAAACTAAACTTATGTATTCGTGCATAAAATCTTTAAATACCTAACAGAAACTAATGAAAATAATACAATTAAGTTATTTCAAAAAATCTACAAAGACATTATAGGGAGGTTTCTTATAACTTTTTAAAGGATTCCAGGGACTAAGGTTTAGAATAAAGAGACACTTGCAAAAAAAAAACTATAAACCAAACAATGTTCAACCATTATTCTAAATCCCATTCCTGAAAATTCCATTACATATTCTTTATAAAAAACAACCACCCTACTACTAACTTGCCTAATACTTAACTAAACAATTTTTCTTTTATGTTAAAATAAATAACAAAATAAAATAAACCTATTATTCAAACATAAACAACAACAACATATAAAATAAAATTAATTAATGCATTTCTGTCTATATACATAATTGTATGTATTAATGAGTACACATAATAAACATATACATATGTATATTATATGTATATAGTATATATGAAAAACATAAATATTTAAAACATAACTTACATACATATGTACGTTTGTTTATGTATATAGTATATATAAAGAAATAAAATAGTATATTTTTTAATTAAATGAACAAAAAAGAAAATAGAAACAAACTTAAAAAAAGAGAAATTTCTTAAATCCATAACAATTACCAAAAAATATAATAATAATTAAAAATAAATAATTATTTATTAATTTTCAGCATAACAAAAATATGAATATGAAATTATGAAATAAATATTTTAATATTTTAGATGAAATTTCAAATAAAATGTGTTTTTTTCTTTAAATAAGTTTAATGGCCACTTTTTGAGTATAATGTTGAGCCGTTTGATATCGAAAAATACCGCGGTATTCCCGAGGCATTTTCGGTACTTTTTCCAACTTACAAACAGTCTAGTCTATAATATAGTTTAGTCTAGTTTAGAGTCTAGTCTAGACTGTATAGTCTATAGTCGATATATCTAAAGTATAGTCTATAGCCTCGCATATAATGTAGTCTATAGTCTCGCCTTTAGCTCGCCTATAATCTAGTCTATAGTCTCGTCTTTAGCTCGCTTATAATCTAGTCTATAGTCTCGTCTTTAGCTCGCCTATAATCTAGTCTATAGTCTCGTCTTTAGCTCGCCTATAATCTAGTCTATAGTGTCGTCTTTAGCTCGCCTATAATCTAGTCTATAGTCTCGCCCATGGTCTATATTCTAGTCTATAGTGTAGTCTATAGTCTAGTCTATAGTCTAGTCTATAGTCTAGTCTATAGTCTAGTCTATAGTCTAGTCTATAGTCTAGTCTATAGTCTAGTCTACAGTCTAGTCTATAGTCTAGTCTATAGTCTAGTCTATAGTCTAGTCTATAGTCTAGTCTATAGTCTAGTCTATAGTCTAGTCTATAGTCTAGTCTGTAGTCTAGTCTATAGTCTAGTCTATAGTCTAGTCTATAGTCTAGTCTATAGTCTAGTCTATAGTCTAGTCTAGTCTAGTCTATAGTCTAGTCTATAGTCTAGTCTATAGTCTAGTCTATAGTCTAGTCTATAGTCTAGTCTATAGTCTAGTCTATAGTCTATAGTCTAGTCTAGTCTAGTCTAGTCTATAGTCTAGTCTATAGTCTATAGTCTAGTCTATAGTCTAGTCTATAGTCTAGTCTATAGTCTAGTCTATAGTCTAGTCTATAGTCTAGTCTATAGTCTAGTCTATAGTCTAGTCTATAGTCTAGTCTATAGTCTAGTCTATAGTCTAGTCTAGTAGTCTAGTCTATAGTCTAGTCTATAGTCTAGTCTAGTCTATAGTCTAGTCTATAGTCTAGTCTATAGTCTAGTCTATAGTCTAGTCTATAGTCTAGTCTATAGTCTAGTCTATAGTCTAGTCTATAGTCTAGTCTATAGTCTAGTCTATAGTCTAGTCTAGTCTAGTCTAGTCTAGTCTATAGTCTAGTCTAGTCTAGTCTATAGTCTAGTCTATAGTCTAGTCTATAGTCTAGTCTATAGTCTAGTCTATAGTCTAGTCTATAGTCTAGTCTATAGTCTAGTCTATAGTCTAGTCTATAGTCTAGTCTATAGTCTAGTCTATAGTCTAGTCTATAGTCTAGTCTATAGTCTAGTCTATAGTCTAGTCTATAGTCTAGTCTATAGTCTAGTCTATAGTCTAGTCTATAGTCTAGTCTATAGTCTAGTCTATAGTCTAGTCTATAGTCTAGTCTATAGTCTAGTCTATAGTCTAGTCTATAGTCTAGTCTATAGTCTAGTCTATAGTCTAGTCTATAGTCTAGTCTATAGTCTAGTCTATAGTCTAGTCTATAGTCTAGTCTATAGTCTAGTCTATAGTCTAGTCTATAGTCTAGTCTATAGTCTAGTCTATAGTCTAGTCTATAGTCTAGTCTAGTCTAGTCTATAGTCTAGTCTATAGTCTATAGTCTAGTCTATAGTCTAGTCTATAGTCTAGTCTATAGTCTAGTCTATAGTCTAGTCTATAGTCTAGTCTATAGTCTAGTCTATAGTCTAGTCTATAGTCTAGTCTATAGTCTAGTCTATAGTCTAGTCTATAGTCTAGTCTATAGTCTAGTCCTATAGTCTAGTCTATAGTCTAGTCTATAGTCTAGTCTATAGTCTAGTCTATAGTCTAGTCTATAGTCTAGTCTATAGTCTAGTCTATAGTCTAGTCTATAGTCTAGTCTATAGTCTAGTCTATAGTCTAGTCTATAGTCTAGTCTATAGTCTAGTCTATAGTCTAGTCTAGTCTAGTCTATAGTCTAGTCTATAGTCTAGTCTATAGTCTAGTCTATGTCTATCTATAGTCTAGTCTATAGTCTAGTCTATAGTCTAGTCTATAGTCTAGTCTATAGTCTAGTCTATAGTCTAGTCTATAGTCTAGTCTATAGTCTAGTCTATAGTCTAGTCTATATCTAGTCTATAGTCTAGTCTATAGTCTAGTCTATAGTCTAGTCTATAGTCTAGTCTATAGTCTAGTCTATAGTCTAGTCTATAGTCTAGTCTATAGTCTAGTCTATAGTCTAGTCTATAGTCTAGTCTATAGTCTAGTCTATAGTCTAGTCTATAGTCTAGTCTATAGTCTAGTCTATAGTCTAGTCTATAGTCTAGTCTATAGTCTAGTCTATAGTCTAGTCTATAGTCTAGTCTATAGTCTAGTCTATATCTAGTCTTCGTTTCTATAGTCTAGTCTATAGTCTAGTCTATAGTCTAGTCTATATCTAGTCTATAGTCCTAGTCTATAGTCTAGTCTATAGTCTAGTCTATAGTCTATAGTCTAGTCTAGTCTAGTCTAGTCTAGTCTATAGTCTAGTCTAGTCTAGTCTAGTCTATAGTCTAGTCTATAGTCTAGTCTATAGTCTAGTCCTAGTCTAGTATATCTATCTAGTCTTAGTCTAGTCTATAGTCCTATAGTCTAGTCTATCCAGTCTATAGTCTAGTCTATAGTCTATCTATAGTCTCTAGTCAGTATAGTCTAGTCTATGTCTAGTCTATAGTCTAGTATATAGTCTAGTCTATAGTCTAGTCTATAGTCTAGTCTAATTAAAAATGTGTCTATTCCTCTATTCCCTATGATATCTGGTCACGTTAAGTGTAAACTTATTATCTACTAACTACTTTTTCAAAACTATTTATTTCGCCGAAACACATTAGCCAAGTTAGTTCAATCAAATATTTTCCTATAAAAAAAATTATCAATCAAGAAATTATTCCAAATATTTTTAAAATATTTTATTTTTGAATAAATTTTAATTAACAAAAAACCAACAACTTTAATTAGTTTTTAACTGCACAAGAGAGGATAAAAAATGTTTGCTGTAATGCGTCTACACGTGTTAAAAGGAGCCGCTAAACGTTTCCAACAAATACGCAGTTATGGAGCCCAAGCCATTAATCAAATGTTGCAATTGCAACACACTGAAATCTGTGCAGATCCCCCCTCTAGAGGTTTGGTTTTAGGTGTGTATGCTGATGAGGAAGATAAAAACGATACGGGTATTTTAACGCCAGCTGCTTGGCGTTATAATGTGCAGAGAACTGGCGGACGCATGCTAGAGGTTTTACGTATGTCAGGACCCATGCCCAAAAGAGGAGAATGTCGTTTGTTGTTTGCCCAAGAAACAGAGAAAATTCCCTATTATTCCGCTGTAGCCATTATAGGTTTGGGTAAGGAATGTTTGGGTTTTAATCCCTATGAAATTTTGGATGAACAAAAAGAAGCCATTAGAAGATCTGTAGCCAAAGCCTGTATGGAATTGGCACGTTTGGATACTGACCGCATTGAGGTGGAAAATTGTGGTCATGCTGAATCGGCAGCTGAGGGTGCTGCACTGGGTGTTTGGGCTTATCAAGAATTAAGAGATCCTAAAAATCGTGTAGATGTCCCCTCTATAGATTTATTTACTTATAAAGATGAAATTTGTGATATTGAAGGCTGGCGTATAGGTTTACAAAAGGCTGCAGCACAAAATCTCACCAGACAATTGCAAGAAATGCCCTCTAATCTTTTAACTCCCACAGCGTTTGCCCAAAATGTAGTGGAGGTTTTGTGTAAATCGGGTGTTAATGTAGAGGTTAAGGTGGAAGGTTGGGCGGAGAGTCAAACTATGAATGCTTTTCTATCGGTAGGCAAGGCTTCTTGTGAACCACCCATATTTCTGGAACTGAGTTATTATGGCACTTCGGCAGAAGAGAGACCCATAGTTTTGGTGGGTCAGGGTGTAACATATGATTGTGGTGGTTTATGTCTTAAGGACAAGGAAGAGTTGTTTAATATGAGAGGTGATATGACAGGTGCAGCTGTGGTGGTGGCTACATGTCGTGCTATAGCTGGTTTACGTTTGCCGGTATGTTTAATTAGAACATTTTTTATAATAAGCTTGAAAAAACTAAATTTATATTTTTATGATTTTGATTAACTTTCATTACAAATCGAGTTTCGTTTCTAATTATAAAAATTAACATTAACAGGTCAACATTCGAGGTTTAATACCACTTTGTGAAAATGTTATAGGTTGTAATGCATTCCGTCCTGGTGACACTGTCAAGGCCATGAATGGCAAACACATTAAAATTCAAGGTACCGATCATGAGGATCATTTAGTACTCGCCGATGCCTTACTTTATGCTCAAAACTTTTGTCCCAAATGTATAATTGATGTTGGTACTACATCGGGTTGTATGCGTCAAGCATTGGGTGAAGCAGCTTGTGGCGTTTTTACCAATTCGGAAATTCTTTGGCAACAGATTAAACATGCCAGTATGCATACGGGTGATCGAGTGTGGCGTTTTCCACTTTGGTGGTATTACACCAGTGAAATTAAAGCAGGCATGTCGTCGGATGTACAGAATTATGGCTCTGGTACTGGTGGAAGACCTTGTAAGGCAGCAGCGTTTTTGCGTGAATTTGTACCCTGTGGCCAGTGGATGCATATTGTAAGTTCTAGTTTTTTCAAATTGCTGGGAAATCTATTAATTCTATTATCTATTTAAGGACGCTACAAATGTCATGTATACCGATGGTATGTGCTTTGACTATTTACGCAGAG